TTTTTTTTTTTTTTTTTTTGTTTCTAAGGTGATTCCTGTATCTGGACGCATTGTCTTACCGATTCTTCTTTGATTTGTCGCTTTGTTTTCATAAATATAGCAATATTTAGTCGTTGCACCAGTAGTGGTGTTCATTTGATGAGTTGGGTGTCCTGTTCGTGCGACGAATCTTTCCGTCTACCCCCGATCTGATCTGGGAGTGGACAGTTTTTGGAGTTGGGTTTATTGTTTTTCCCTTTGTTTGGGATTTGGTGAAGATTTCTTGGCGGCAATGGACGCTTCCGGTGAAGAACTTTCAGATTTGGAGGTTGAGAATGAAGCGAATCATTGCGGGTTTGAGGAAGAACCTGAAACTATTGCTATAATGGATGCCGTGAAAGTTTTGTTGCAGGGTTTAGGGGAAGATATCAACAGAGAGGGTATCAGAAAGACCCCTTTCCGTGTGGCCAAGGCTCTTAGAGAAGGAACAAGAGGTGAGAATTTCCTTATTTCATAGCCTTCGTTTTAGTAGTGCAAGCCTCTTAGAGGCATTAGTTTATTGAGAATTGTGAGTTTTGTCTGTTGTTTATGAGTTTGTATTGGAACTATCCATTTTGAAAAGTCTTTTAGTTCTTTAGGACAAAGAGTCTATCAAACTGGCTTGAAATTGAAGTCTTATGCCAAATTTGAAGAATAGAATTCAATGGATTACTGCTACAAACTTGAAATTTCACAATTTTGATGATGATATTGACTGGGTTTGTTGTATTTGTGCATAGAAGGATATGAATTCCAGGGTTTTTCTTGATGTATAGTTTGTTTCAGAACACATTCTGAGATTAGGTGTAACAGCCGAGCTTCCCTTCAAGATTTTAGAACACGTCCTTTAGGAAGAGGTTTCCATACCTTTATAAGAAATGTTTCATTCCCCTGTCCAACCAATGTGGGACCTCACAATTCACCCCCTTTTTGGGCCAGCAAGACGCTAACACTCGTTCCCTTCTCCAATCAATGTGAGACCTCCCAATCCACCCCCTTCGAGGCCCAGTGTCCTTGCGGACACACCGCCTTGTGTCTACCCCCCTTTGGGGCTTGGCCTCCTCGCTCGCACATCGCCTAGTGTCTAGCTCTTATACTATTTGTAACGGCCCAAGTCTATCGTTAACAGATATTGTCTTTTTTGGGCTTTTCCTTCTGAGCTTCCCTTCAAGATTTTATAATGCGTCCTTTAGGGAGAGGTTTCCACGCCCTTATGAGAAATGTTTCGTTCTTCTCTTTAACTAACGTGTGACCTCACATTAGGAAAGTTTGAGATATTGGTTTTGAGAATTCTCCCTATTTTGTCTCATTTTTACTGCGTTGAATTTGTTCTGCTATGCACGACTTGGCATATATCATCTGGATGGTTTCATACATCATGTTTTGGTTCTAAAGGACTCGTGAAATCGGATAATTGTTGTAATGAAAATTTTCATCTCTTCATTCATATACTTCACTGCAATTTGTATAACTGAATACAAATTTATTTCAGGCTACCGACAAACAGCGAAGGACATCATTCAAAGTGCTTTGTTTCCTGAAGCTGGACTACATAATGGTGTTGGTCAGGCTGGAGGTGCAGGTGGGATTGTGATTGTTCGAGATCTTGACTTCTTCTCGTACTGCGAGTCATGCTTGCTTCCATTTCAAGTGAAATGTCATGTGGGTTACGTTCCATCTGGTCAGCGAGTCGTAGGGCTGAGCAAGCTCTCTCGAGTATCAGACGTGTTTGCGAAGCGACTTCAAAAGCCTCAACGTCTGGCTGATCAAATTTGTTCAGCTCTACACCATGCTATCAAGCCAGGAGGTGTTGCTGTTGTACTTAATTGTATGCACATCCATTTTCCCAGCTTGGAGTCAGTCTTTCTCGATTCGAAATCCTCGGGATGGATCAAGTTGCATGTTCAATCTGGTTCGGGAGCTTTTGAAAGCCAAGATGCTGATGCCTGGATGGACTTCTTCAGCCTTTTAAAACTTAGAGGCTCAGATCTGAGAAAAGCTTGTGCATCAAATGCTCAAGTTTGGTGCCCATCTCATTTTCCTTGTGCTTCTAAATTCTCGACCAAAATTGAATCGATTAACCCGAGAATGACCTCTGCTGTGACATCGATTTTGAAGTCATTAGGTGAAGACCCATCAAGAAAAGAGCTTCTTGGAACACCTGGTCACTTTGTGAACTGGCTAATGAACTTCCAAAACTGTAATGTTGATATGAAGACGGATATGAAAAAGCTCAATGGCTTTGCTAATGGTAGAACTCATCTTGAACACGAGAACGGTAACCTCTCCGACAAACAGATTCAATCAGAGATGAATTTCTTGTTCTGGTCTCAATGTGAGCACCATTTACTCCCCTTTTACGGCGTCGTGCACATAGGATTCTTACGAGCTGATGCGCTCGCTCCCTTTGAGAAATCACTTCTAAACTCGGTAATACTTTTTTATGGTTTGAAGCTTCAAGTTCAGGAGAGAATGACCAGACAGATAGCAGAGACAGTTTCATCATTAGTAGGAGCAGACGTGATAGTCGTTGTCGAGGCAAGTCATACCTGTATGATCTCAAGAGGAATCGAGAAGTTCGGTAGCACGACAGCTACAATCGCTACACTCGGTTGGTTTTCATCCGACGTAGCTGCAAGAGCCATGTTCTTGCAGAGCATTCCAAAAACTACCATTGGTGAACTGTAAGTTCAAGCTTATGACTATCCTCTTTTCATTTTTCGGGAGGTTTTTACTCGATGCCGTTGCACCGATATTGGCACGGTTTCTTCCCGATACCTTTTTGCAATAAACTCTTGGGTCGTGCTGAAAGCATTTAGAAGTAATACTCAAATTGATTAGTAGCAGCATACACATTTGGTTGGAAGGAAGATATTTATTCTGTGGGTCATCATCCCATTCATAGCCTATTGTAGTTGTTTTACAAAGGAATCCAAAAGGGATACCATTTATACTCTGTTTTGTGGGTTAGGAGGCCAGGAGTGATAGCATTTTACCAGTTTCCATGGCCAATTTTGGTGCAATTTCTTATCTAAGATGTATCTCAATAAAACCTATATGTATTCCAAACCACAATTTATGTCTATCTCTTTCCCCTCTTGGGGTCAAGTTCTGCTTTCTGGACAGGGAAATGTTGTCTTATGGACTGCAAAAGTTCGTTGTCGACTTCGATGGCATCGTTATCTTTGACTTTATCGAGACATATCTGGTGTGTTCGAAGACTTTGAAGATACCCTTTCTACGCTATCGAGACAATAATAACACTCATCTTTCTGACCGAAGAATTTGTTGGAGTCCACCGTAGTGAGGAGTTGAAGTATGCTAGCGGTCTAGGCTACACAGTGCTCTCGAGCTTTGGCTACCTCTTTCAACACTCTTGGGGTCAAGTTCTTTCTAGAAAGGGAAATGTTCTCTTTTGGATTGTAATAGTCTGTCATCGACTTTAATAGCATCTTTATCTTTGGCTCTATTGAGGCATATCCGGTGTGTCTGGAGATTTTGAAGATACCCTGTCTAATCCAGACAGTAATAACACATATCTTTCTAAACGAAGAATTTGTTCGAGTCCACCATAGCGGGGAGTTGAAGTATGCAAGAGGTCTAGGCTACATAGTGCTCCCGAGCTCAGGCTACCTCTTTCAAAGAAAGGAAAGACCATTCAAGAATTTTGTTAGCTCACGAGTTATGAGTTTTAAAAAGTTTCTATGTTCGTTGATTCCAATCTTTTCTTGTGAGATTTCTTCTCTCTTTCTATCGAAAATTTAAATATCGGGTTTCAACCAAACAAATTATCAATCGATGACCATCTTAAAGTGTTTCTTGTTTTGTTTACATCAGATTCGGGCTACAATCATTCAAAAATGCATGAACCCGAGATTTTCATAAAAGAAAAGAGCAAACCCTAAATAGAACAATAGAACAATATAGGCATACAAGGAAAGTAGCTTATTATTTATTATTTTCATTCTAATTATATGAATCAAATAAACTTGTTTCCTTCTGTAGCAAATGGATTAGCCTATATTATGAATCATTTGCAGATGAATCAAAAATCATATACTCAGGGACTTCAAGAACCAAGCCCAGATCAAGGGACAAGCAATATGAGCTCAACCTATGAGAAAAAGAGGCATCTGAAAGCAGCAGCCTTCTTGCTTGGGCTGCTGGCTTCGGCACTGACTCAGCCATTGGCAATGGCAATCGGCATTGTGCCAATCCAGAATTGGCGTGTTCATGTGGTTAATAGGCTGAATAATGCAACTTTATTTGTGCATTGTAAGTCTAAAGATGACGATTTGGGATTCCATAACCTAGTTGGTGTTGGCTCTGAGTTTCAATGGAGTTTCAAGAACAACCTTTGGGCAACAACGTTGTTTTGGTGCTTACTAAGAAAGCCAAATGCTTACGTGTCTTTTGAAGCGTTTTGGATTGAGAAGACACATATTTGGCTCAATTATAGGTGTCATGGTGGAAACTGCATTTGGACTGCTAGAGACGATGGAGTATATTTGAGAAACAATCCCGATAGTGTTGATGAGCGCGTTCATAAGTGGAAGGTAAAGTCTATTTGATTTGTTAAAGTTGTCGCGTGATATAAAATTTCGTGCATAGTTCTTATGTCGGTATACTTTTAACATATGAGACAACCCGAGCATTGAGGTATATTGCCTTCGATCAACCCTATCATGCATGTTGTTGAACTCAAGAAAAAAAATTCTAATTTTTATGATTCAAATATATCTAATCTTAATTATACTTCTATTAACATTGTTTTGTCGTTTGAGTTTACCACCGACCATAACTTCCTGTTTATATGTTGATTGTAGGACTTCTCATAATCCGTTTTACCGACGACCCTAGCTCAAGAATATCGCCCAACCATAAACAAGTCTACAAAAGTGTGTTCAAACAAGCTTCAAAACCTTTGTCCTGGCGTTCATTTGGTTCATGAAGTTTATCGTCATCGAATGATAAAGCGGACTTAATCTTCATCTCCATTTGCTTCCCTTATAAACACTATATATACTTCCACAAATTCATACATCTTCTACCTTCATTCTTTTAAGATTTTGTGTTCATAACAACTTAAATGAAAAAGATTCAATACATACGGGACTTGTAAACATTAAAATATGATGGACAAAAAAAAAAGGATAATCTCTAGTAGTTAATAATACATTTAGAAATACATAATTCACAACTATATGCTGTATGATTCGATAACATGCCACACAATTCACAAGCCAAGAATAGCTTAAAGGACATCGTGTTCACCTACGGCTCCACGACGATTTTACCAGTGGCATGGCCGTCCATGCTTTTTGCCCAAGCATCCTCGGCGTTGCTGAGAGGATACCGTGAATCGATCACGGTCTTCAGCTTCCGTTCCTTGATCAAATTCAAAAGATAGCATAGATTCTCACTCTTGAAAGACATCAACAATGGTACCAGCTGCTTCTTGGAGAAGGTAAGTTTCTTAAAGGCAGAAGATATCACGGTAGAAGGGTTTGGAGTAATGTCTATTACTTTACCATTAGGACTCAAGTTTGGTTCAAATACAGACCATGGGATCCCTGATGCACAATGAACCACTGCATCATACTTCTTACCTGATGGGCTCTTCAAGGCTGCCCCTTCTGGTGTTTTGTAGTCAATAACCTCATCTGCTCCCAAGCTTTTCACAAACTCGATATTACGGGCACCGCAAGTAGCTGTCACATGTGTGTTTCCCAACTTTGCTAGCTGAACAGCGTAATGTCCAACACCGCCAGATGCAGCAGTGATGAGAATGTTTGCTTGAGGGCCACTTCCATCAAGTTTGATCCCAGCAGCTTGGGTGAGAGCCTGGTGAGCTGTCAAAGCTGCGACAGGTAGGGAAGCACCATCAGCTGCTGTTACTTCGGGAGGCCTATAAACTGTCTTCGACTCCTTTCCTACAGCGTATTCAGCAAGTCCACCTCCAGTCTATCATTGTAATATAAAATTTTCGTAAGATGAACACTTCCAATAAAATGAATCGACAAAATATCAAAGGATTCAAAATTGGTTCAAGTTTAATCGAATAGTAAGGTTGTTCTGGCCCAATTGTTTCACAATTCAACAGTTCAGTTCAGAAGGAAACTAATGGATCTCCTATTAAATGTGTGTATTGGCATAGGCGCAAGAGAAGGGAGGATGAGGAAAAATAAGTTGTTATGAGTTAGTTCATAGGGTGGGACCCGAAATATATTGAGTTTGAGTTGTGCTGTGGAGATATATAATTTGTAAGAGAGACTTGGAGGGGTACTTTTCTGGTTAGATTGTCTGAGAGGATTGTATTTGGGAGAGAGGGAAGCTCTCTAAAACTTTCACTCAAATCTTAGCTCAACTCAGTACCTCTATTATAAATAAATTCCTATTCTTATCAATATTTGTATCCGAGCAAGTTCATGACTGGGAATGCCTACTTGAACGGAATCTCGAATAGAGACTATGGAAGGAAGAATGAATGAGTTGCGGAGCTTGATAGCAAAGGAGGTGGGTTCAACCCGTGAGACTATTAAGACACAGATGATGAATGAGCAGTGGCAAGAGCGTGATTGAGGCAATAAGGAAGAGGGAATGGAGGAGGTGTGTGTGCAGTTTGAAGGGGTGAGGCAAACGGAGGAAATAGCCCTAGTGGGAAAGAAAGAGGTAAGAAACCCGGCAAAGGTGATGTTAGATCTAGGAGGGAATAGCGGAGAATTGAACCTGAGCAAACCGTTGGCACCAATGTTTGATCTTCGACTGAGGAAATTGGAGATTCCGGTTTTTGAAGGTGAAAATTCATATGGGTGGATCCAAGTCAAAAGTCATTTTGTGGTTAACAAATTGGCTGAATCAGAAAAACATGAAGTTGCAGTGTTGTGCTAGAATGGCATAGCCTTGAAATGCCATCAACAGGAGGAGTGTCGACAAACAATCAGAGCCTGGAAAGAGTTTCGACGACATGTTCTTCAATGGTTTTAGCCAACGAATCAAGGTACGTTACAAGAACAATTTTTGCCTTTGTGGCAGGATATATGACGATGGAGGAATATTGTGATAAGCTTGAGGAATATTCCGGGTCATTGGTGTTGCTAGATGACAATACCCTAAAAGAGAAGTTCAATGATGGGCTGAATGAAGATATAGAAGTGGAAATGAGGATAATTTACCTGTCGAGCTGACATTGCAAATGGAAATGGCCCAGAAGATTGAAGACAAGTTATTGCATCAGAAGGGGATAGGGGATTCAAATTGATTAGGGTTTACAGATACCGTTCCAGTCGTTGCCCCTGCCTCATTTATGTTGGGTTTCACATTAAATTCTTTGGATTGAAGGAATTAGGAAAGAGTCAACAGGACTGTACAAAAGGCTAACGGAATCGAAGTTGCAGAGTAGGAAGGAGAAAGTCATGATTTTATTTAATCAATTACCAACATGTTCCTTGTTCAATCAGACAAAATTAACCGTACAAAAGGTGAATGATGACTTACAGCATGGCTACCAAAAGTTACAACTTTGTCCCCAGCTTTTAAGCTTTTGACTCCTGCTCCAACCTCTATGACTTCTCCAGCAATATCAGTACCTATTTCAAATTTGTAAGGGAAATGAAGTAACAAAGAACAAATCAACTGTATTTGTTTCCTAAAGAAAAATTGCAGGAATAAACAAAATCAGGAGTGAACAGATGGAACTTCCAGGAGGTCTTTACGCTAAATTTAAGATACCAGGTCCATTGCCAAGGTTAAAGACAAATTTAGTTGAGAAGATTCTATTGCATTCTGCATCTATCTTGAAGTCGTATTTTATTTATAACAAAAATAAACATGAAAGCATGTTTTTGAAGAACAGAACAATTGTCTACTCAAAAAATTAGTTTCTACAGACTGTCCAAGTCTAGTTATAGCTTTTAGAAAGGAAAAAAAGAAAAAAAGAAAAAAGAGTGTTCTTGTAATTGTTTTTAGAATTACCAACTACCATCACTGGTCAAGAAGAGTTATGGAGAAGATAAAGCACTGAAGAAAATAGGTTCAACTCATGGTGGTCACCTTCCTAGAATTTATTATCCTACAAGTTATATTGGCAACCAAACGTACTAGCATCAAGTGGTGGTCCCACAAGAATAGTCAAGGTGTGAGCAAGCCGTCTTGGACACTGGCGGATATAAAAAAAACAGAGGAAAAGTTACTTGTAATATCAAGAAGATTTAAGAGTTCGGCAAGTCTTAATTGCTCTATGTCAGATGGTAACTGCTGCATATTCCAAGTTTGGTCAATTAGATTCATCAGCAAAATATTTGGTGCGTGAATAGTTTTTTTAAGGATGGAATTATCAATAGGCACACTAATCAAACGTACACAGTCTTAATTCCTAAAAAAACAGGACCTTAGATAGCATCAGAAGCCTATATAAACTGATCTCCAAGATCCTTCTCGCAAAGATTGAGATTGGTACTTGATGTTGATTAAACTACCTATTTCAATAAAGGGGCAGCCAACTATGCAGCAGATAATTGATTGAAGAAACTAGGTCAGATAATAAACTTCACTTGGTTAGGAGAGCTCTTTTTTTTAGTAGCTGATCCTTTTACGTATTTTGCTGATTCAAATTTAATTGAAGCGTTTAAGGTAGAGAGAAACTCATCGCTAATTTAAGAATGACACAGTTGAGAGCTTTGTTCAGGTGAGATGGATACGTTGAAAAAAAATATATCCCCAATATTCTGTAGGTTTTTCCAGGAATTTGGGGGGCACAAAACCAATATTCTTCTTGTTTTATTATAAATAGAGATTTATCAAAGAAAGAAGCAGAGTAGCCAACAGTCTGGGGAGAGGAAAACCCCCACCCAACAACCCACAAAAGAATGCCCTTCCAATCTAAAATAACCTTCAGAAAACTATAGTTATAAAAAAAAAATAAATAAATAAATCCGTGGTTTGAGCATCGCTGCACACAATATCAATATTCATAATACTTCTAGTCCGTAATAACAATTTTAGACACATTTTTAATCCACGTAGAAAACCTGGTGGAAAAGGTCAACAACATATTTAATGTTTTGGAAGTTTTTTCCAAAAAGTTTAGGCATAGAATTGATGATCATAAAGTTTTCTGGCAGATATACTAGTTTCAGGCACATTTTTAGCACAATTCAAAGCAACAAGAGGAAACTTATAAAAGGACCTAGTTCTTTCACCATCAAATTAAATTGGAAGTTCTACATCCATGTTGGTGATTCGATCTTCTACAAACCCTAACTCAAATAATCAGATGGCCTTGATTTAGTGGGAGGGTTTGCCTCCAAAAGAAGTGTTAGCATGGGTGAAGATACATCTCTCTTATTTTTCTTTTCTCCTTGAAGACGAGGTGAATTTAGGGGATAGAGGTATGATAGAAAGGATCCAATCTAGTTCACTTATACTGAGAAAAAATCATGTGAGCCGAAGTAGTATGAAGATTATTGCTAGGCATTAGTTAGCTAACAAGTCTAGAAGTCATCCGTGTGCTTACATTTTTGTATTAGAGTACATTTTTTTATTAGCTAACAAGCCTATGAAGATTTTTTAATTTTATATATGTATAATTTAAGGATGATATTCAAATTTTGAAAACCCACCCGCTCACTTCCGACTTTACCAACCCATGCCTAAACTTATTTCACTTAATACGTCGTACTTCAAGCTTTTAGAGCAAGAATTCAGGTCATACATTCATAACATCAACCATAAGTGAAGTGAAGTACCAGGAATATGAGGGAACTTGCGAGGAAGAAAGGGACGTATCAGTCCCTTCTGAATTTTCCAATCAATTGGATTCAAACTAACTGCTTCCACTTTTACCAAAACCTCATCTGAGTTGGGTCTAGGAACGGGAACTGTCACATGCTGCAGGAAGATAAATTCACATCAAGTAAAAATCCAGTTTCTTATCCAAGAAAAATAAAATATAAGAGAAGTTCCAGCATATTATCATAAAAGAAATAGACTCACTGCTGTCAAAGAACTTGGAATGGAATCAACACCTTCTTAATCCTAGCCCAAGTTCTTCAACTAATCAAAGGGTTGTTCGTAACCAGTTTTAACCATTTTGGGGTTTCCAAAACATTAATGAAGAAGCATAAGCTACTAGTGACTAAAAATCATAGCCAAAAAGCATGTTTATTAGGGAAAATGAGTGTT